TAAGAGCTGAACAGCTGCATTGTGAAGAGTTTGAAGGTACAGTGAAGTGGGATATAGACAGGTTAAAAAGAGCATTACAGTCACCTAAATGAGATGAAATAAGGGCATGAAGAATCATCTCCATCTAACCACAGATCGTAATTTAGCTGTGTTCCTCAATTAGAAAGTACACGATCGCACAAGATGACTGATGTGACTTTCAAGAGACTAAATTTCCCAGCTTTGCTACTCTTGTAATGCCCCCGCTGTAAGATTAATCACTCCATCAAATGATTCAGTTTTACCCAAGAATATGTAAATATGAGAGGCATACCTTTAATGAGGCGATACCACTGCTTACATACAAGCGCAGCAGTCTTGTGCTCCTGGTAAGGTGAGAGGAAGGACAGGATATATTCGAGAACTTCCTCTGGCAACTCCACCATTGTTCTCCCCCCTCCTTTGGCACCACTGTCCATGTTCCCTTCTTGTCTGAAGGACCCCATGTTTGCCTCCTCTTCCTCTGTTATCCCGGCAGGCTCTGCACCATCGTCCTCTGTATCCATGGCAACAAAGCATCCATCCTCATTGTCAGGGGAGCGGGACATTATTGTCTGTTGAGACATGGGGAGACATGCTTGTGATGTAATGTTCAGGAGCATCAGCTGCCATCAGCTACACTATGACAGTGATTAAAGTGATTGGCCTTTTATTTTAGCAAAGTCACCCATTTCACACCTGACCTATATATATTGGATTTCTGCAACTCATATTTAATGAGGATGAAGTCTTAAACAAAACTGGTTTGGTCTGATGTAACCCAAGAAACCCAATGACACTGCAAAGCTATAACCACCATGTTTGTGGTATTTAGAGCTCATCAGTCTTAATTGTCACATCCATTGTGTGAAACGGGTGGTGCCCTTTCTTTACACTTAGCAGCTGCCCCCTCCATGTAGCACGTCCCTCTTATATCGTTAGCTACCTCTAACTAGCTGTCGTTAGCCATAACATAGCCAATTAAATGTTGGAATGCTAATGCTAAGTACCACCTAAAGCTAACCACATAGGAAAAAACATTAAACTTGTGATATGTCAGACGACTAAACGAGTAACAGCTTAGGAAACAAAACACGGTCTAACCGGCGTGTACATTTAATTAGATTTAACGTTTGATCCTTAGACAATATATGCTAGCACTAGCTAACGCTAGCTAACTGGTCATGAGCATCCAACGTTAGCTTACATTAATGAATCTTTAGCTAACGGTATGTAGCAACAGCTAACATGTTTTTTCATAAATACACCTGCTTGACAAAATGAGTCTTCTTGAGTATCTTAATGACACGACAGCCTTTCATAGCAGCAGCCTCGGCTAACGTTACACCCAGTAACTCACAGGCTACCTGGCTGTTATCTTCAGTCTGCTGCTGATAATCTTTGCTAACGTTAGCTCGAGCACAGCCTGTGTGCACTTCATTAACTAGCTCCTCTAACGCCGGATAAATACTGACAATTTCACTCTGTAAACTGTTGCTGCGTTATCATTTACCGTTGATGTAGACGTGGTCTTTTGTGGGCTTTGAGTGTGTATCTCTGCTCTCCTTCCCCCCGGTATCAGCTCCGGAGGTTCCTCTGCAGCCTCCAAACAGTCGCCATCTTCCGCTCTGTGAACAGCGTCCTCCGCAGCACAGCGACGCTGTAGCAGCCGCTGACTGTGTGTGGTACCAGGGTGGGTCCTCTGTGGCCGACACTGCGCCCCCAGCTGCTGTGGGCAAATGTGATGCCCAGGGGACAGTAGGAATTATCCCATAATTACCCAAATTTTACGTGTAGCAAAGAAACATTATAGGCTACTGTAATATAATCAATTATTGCCTAATCTTTGGGAAATCAATCAGTAGATCAATCTGAGAGTGGGTGATATCACAGCAACTGGAAACATCAACATGACTTAGTAAAATGTCAAAACACCATTTATGCATGAGCATATGGTTGCCATTGGTCTTAAAGAAATATGGGCAATTAACCTCATTTGGTTATAGTAATGAATGACAGAAACTAAAATGCAGACTTTTATTAACCTTTTATTAGTATCTCAAAGAAAGAAAGGAAGAAATCTCCAAGTCTTTGGACATAAAGTGATGTATTTTTCCACCTGTGACCTCATCACACCTACAAAAAAAGTCACCATTTGTGATACTTGATTTTTTAATTTCATTTTTGCGCAATTTAAAATACACACAATGACAGAAATAACAAATAATATACACTACAGGAAGAGGCAGAAAACCAAGTGGACTTATATGAGGCCTCCACCTAAAAAAAGTAAAATTAAAAGTAAATTTAAAAGCAGGAAAAAGTGTGCCTTGCATGAAAGTGTGTGTATGCATATGTATCTGTGTATGTATGTGTGTGAGTGGGTGCAGGTCTACATGAGGAGGATACTGGTTTATAGACTGACTTAGAGAACTGTCAAAACACCATGTATGCATAAGCATATGGTTACCACTGGTCCTAAAGAAATATGGGGCATTAACCTCATTTGGTTGTAGGAAAGTATGACTGTTGAGAATGTAAATGCATGCTTTTATTGTGCTTTCATTAGCATCTCAAATAGAGAGGAAAAGAAAGAAAAGATGATCAGTTTTTTTTGTCATAAAGTGATGTCTTTTCCACCTGTTACTTCATCACATCCACAAAAAGCCACCAGTTTTGATACTTGATTTTTAATTTTATTTGTGCACAACTTAGAATACACACAGTGACAGAAAGAACAAATAATATATAGTACAGAAAGAGGCAGAAAGCCAAGTGGGCTAACTTGAAGCCTCCACCTAAAAAAAGTTAAATTTCACGATGTTATAAAGAACACAAAAATTAACATAGAGACCATAACCTACTTACAAAAACATATATAACAATAATAGGAAGTCAATAAAAGCAGAAAAACATGTGTGCCTATATCTCATAGATCTCTGGTCAATGCAATGAAATGACTGTATTAAGTCTACCTGTTTCTGATGTGTTATAAGTCTGAGCTTAATATTGCTGTGATTTCATACCCCAGTGTTAACCATATAACATCCATAATTCATCCCATATTTTTTATTAATGCAATGTACTAGGATGTTCGAATCAAATCTACATTAATGCATTTAAGGAGCCCTGCATGAATAACCACTGTCTTTGCTGTTGCAGACCAAAATCTTCTTAATGTTTCCACATTGATGTTAGAATCCTATCACACTAGACAAACAAACATTGTATAAACAATGAAATAACAACCTATAAAATGAATAACTTACATGCATTCTTGTGTAAGAAATCCTGTTTTATTATAAGGCAGACATTAAAACTATAGGCTGCTATGTTATTAATATAAAGCACCTAAACCAGGCTTGGATAATTTTATCTTCACTTTCATTTTCAGTCCACGCTGCACCTCCTTTGGATAGACAAGGTAAAAGGGGTGGTAGTTCAGACTTGCAGATGCAGAGATGCAGACACTGTTCTCTTTATGCATTCATGGTGTGTGCACAAAGAAAGAACAAACATTACTGCAGCAGTGTTGACACTTGTGAGGCAGGCAGAGTGATACATCTGCAGTGTTTTGTGGCTACTATCTGTGTGTTTGAGATGGTACATTTTAGCATACAAAATGTTTTTCAAGTTTACTTGTAATAGAAAGAGGAGTGTGCAGCCACTGACTGTGTTAGCATAACATTAACAATGGGTCTGTTCGATTCATGTGGTCCAGTAAACCATGACAGCGTGACAGCCAATCAGCATGGGATTGTCAGGATTCTGACACTGAAGTAGCTAAATAAAATTCAGTCATCATTTATTTCATTATTTATACGTATGCTTTTCTTACTGTTTTGTGTCCAACATCACTTTTGTTAACTTACAATTCTGGTGCTCAATACTGTATATTCTCTGTCTTCTAGGACTTTTCTCCTTGTTACTTTTGTAAGGGAAGGAGAAAAAAATGAATAGTAAAAACTAGGGGGCTGTGATGCAACAAAAGAAAAATAGCAATGTAAGCCGCATGTCTTCGGTGCTGAATATGTGAACTACAAATGCAGATAACTACTTTAATCAGTTATTAATTTAACAGATGAAGATTTCTTCAGATAATTAACAAGTCTGCTCATATTTATGATGGTGGAATGTTTGATTTTCCTTAGCATGCACAGCTCAGTTTTTTAGACCAGAATAGAAACCACAAACTGAATCAATCACTAATCTTAAATAGGACAAAGGCCATTTTATCTGCTATACATTTGACTCATATTCTGGTCGAAGTGTAATCAAAATCCATTAAAATTTCATTAAGTGATACATTTTATTTGTTTATTTATGCAAGAAGCAGCCTATAGGCCTACCTCATAGATCTCTGCACCATGCAATGAAGTGTCTACATTAAATCTATCTCTTTTTGATGTGTAGTAAGGCCAAGCTTAATACTGCTGTGATTTCAAACCCCAGTGTTGACCAGATAACATCCATAATTTATCCCATACTTTTTATTTGTGTATTGTATTAGGGTGTTCAAATCAAAAGCTACATATGTTTGATGCATTTAAGGAGCCCTGCATGTATAAATTGCATGTACAGTCCAGATGTTTAGAATAGAAACCACAAACTGAATCAATCACTAATCTAAAATCCATGTTATCTGCTTTACATTTGATTCATATCCTGGTCCAAATATAATCAAAATCCATTAATATTTAATAAAAGTATTTCTTCGGTTATTTTGAAAGCGTTGCGTTCACGTAACTATCGTCAATTTCCACATTCGACTGCTGGTCTACAAAACTATAAAGACTGGTATATTGCTAATCTCTCTAAATTTACAGATGATACTCCAAATAAATTATGATCATAGTCCTATTCTGAAAATGATTTCACTTTGGGTGTTCATGTATCGTAATGTATTGCAATTTTTGACTAGTGACCTACGTGAAAACAGTACTGTATCTGTCAGTGCCTCTCACAAGACTTGAACGCAGCACTTCCCTTCACTATAGTCAACACAGATATCTTCGTCCAACTCTCAGTGCTTTATTCACCTAAAAACAACGACTCTGTGGTGACGTGAGTTTATTTCTCACTATGTAGTGACGGACATAAAGCGTTAGGCAGTTAAATTTGCGTTGTCACGTTTTAACCTACATTTAAATCACTTTGTGTTGCCGGTTAGCTGTGTTATTGGAAGCTAGCAAGTTGACGCTAGCTAACGCTATTAACGTCATTTCCTTCGTGTTTTAACGGTTAAACTTGAGAGGCACTGCTCAAGGGTTAAACTCTAGCTAATACAACTGTCAACAACCTGAAACTATCGTGTCCACGCAGTGTTTTTTCCGTCTGAGCGGCGTGTGGACGACACCAGCGGCCGGTTGATTTACCGAGGTGGACGTTACGCCAAATTTAAAGTAGCAGGTAGCAGCAGCCAGGGGGGATTGCCCTCAGTAGAGCACTAAGCTAGCAGGCTAACACGCGGCCAAGCGACGGGTTGTGAATCCGTTTATTCAGCCTTCATCTGATCGCAAAAACTCGTGGGATTGAGCTCCCCGCGGGGCTGCGTGAGCTCTGCCAACAGTCCCATGCTATCTGCGCGGATGGGAGATAGTTAGCCGGTGGAGCCGAAGAGGTAACCAGCCAGCAGTTGTGTTAAACATGGAGGATGAAGAGGTTGCAGAGAGCTGGGAAGAGGCAGCGGACAGCGGGGTGAGATACACCATCGTTGTTTAAACATCATTTCAAACAAGATTAAAACTTGATTTTAGTTTGCCAGTCACTTAGCAAGAAACCGAGATACCCTGGATGTGTCTGGGGCTTGAATACCTCATAAAAACATGTTTTTTATTCAGGCTTGTTCCCTCATCAAAGAAATCATCTCGTCTTCCTGATTGGGTCTTACAGGCCTCACTGTCCCATAATGAAACGGGACTGAGTCCGGCTTCGTGTCATTTTATTTCCCCAACAAAATAACTGTATGATGTGTGGAAATCCCAAATAATAATCCACAAAGAAAACTTAATTTTTAAAAAGTACACTTTTTCCTATATTTCCCCCATTTTCTTAGACCCGCCCATTGCGGAAATGACAAGCTGCACTGAATCATCACAGCACCATAACAGTGTATGTGAACAGTCTTTGAAACAATATATTTAGAGAATAAGCAAATGCATCCAACAGATTTTTTTCTATCATGTGTTGATAGATTGAACCAGTTTGATTTGATTGTGGCAAACGATTAAAAATGATCTGTGAAGACAGTCCTATTGCTGTAATGTTTTTAATCTATCCCTTGTAATCAGATTTCATGCTCTCATTACATTTAAGTGGCTGAAAAAATACTTTCATAACTGTAGATTATTATGGATATCAATCTGATGTAATAGTTGAGCTGCCAAATCTTTTTATCCACTCATCCTTACTATGAGCAAATTGCAGTCCAACAGCTGGCAAGGTGTTGATATGATCTGATACTGAGATATGCATACAGTTTGTATTTCTTTTTACACTAACTTGAATTTTAACTTCTGTGTGACAATGTATATAATGCACATTTTGTAATAAATCACATTTCAATCACACACCTTCCATCCTGTTAACAGAGGGAATACAAAAGCTTAGATAATACTGCTCATAAATACTGATTTAATCCCAGACTCCAGTTTCTTATCAGAATAAATACCATACTGTCAAAGGCAAAGTAGATGCACAGTTGCAATAAAAACAACTCAATTTCTTAACAAATGTAGTTGGATTTTGGGGGACCCTCCATGTGAGAGGGCAGAGTATCTACATCGTAGGGATTAGGATTTGTAATGATTGACCTACATCATAATATCTTTCAAAAGCATGTATTTTTGATTCCAGCAACCAGTCCGCAACTTAGAAATTGAGATCTCTTGAACATATTTACTATACAGGTCAATGAGACAGGTAATTAACTTGCTGGACAGTAATACAAATATAATAAATATGTTTTTCTCCTCAGGAAATAGAGAGACGACTTGAAGCTAAACTGAAAATAAATCAGGAGGCAAAGTAAGTAGAGAGAAAATGAATCAAATTAGTCTATACATACTAAGTTTTTCCCTGTAATTTTATTCCTCTCACTGTGTTTTTTCCTATATAGGAAGTCCAGCTTGGGTTTGGGTGGCTCACCTGTCCGAACTGCTATTGTGATCCAGGATGACTCTCTGCCTGCAGCACCACCACCACAAATTCGTATTCTGAAACGTCCTACAAATAATGGTACTGCAGGAAACCTCGCATCCTCAACTCGTCCTTCTCAGCAGATGAAGTCTTTGGCCCAGCGGGAGGCAGAGTACGCAGAAGCCCGTAAAAGGATTTTGGGTAGTGCGTCCTCAGATGATACGCCTCAGGACAATCCATGCCAGGACAGGTGAGACATTACAACAAAGCAGAACGATGAATGTGCACAGTAGTGAAAACACCTAGAAATGAAAAACTTTGTTATTAAATTGTATTCATTTCTCTTCATGTCATTAGGCCAGCTCGTATGAGCGGGCAGCAACCATCAGACCCAGTTCGTCCAAACAATCACGTGATCCGCCAGCCCACTGGCCCAGATGGCACCCCAGGCTTCCGACTCTGCAGATAAACAGGAGATACTTGTTGCAAGGAATCATCTGTCTCCCTGAGAGGGCATAAAGGGTGGCAGTTAAAGGGGTTGTGTGTGGTATGAAGAGCAGAGTGGTGGGGTGACACAAAATTTGACCGACATTAGAAATATGAAGACGTAGCATGGATAGGAATGAACTTCTCCACCCTCTCTCTACTCTGCTTACTGGCATGGTCTTTGCCTTTCACCTTGTCTTTTCCTTCTGTGGAATGCAGCAAGGGGCTGGCAGAGATCAGCCAAAGATCTGAAACCCCTTCTGTTCCACACTGTGAACAGGCGTTTGCCTCACATCCCTACACACTGTGATACTTTGAAGTACCATGAGGTGCCCTATGATTTTAAGTATGATTGGCCGGCCGAGTGCCAGGGCATCAGGTGTCTGTCTCTTCAGGGAGAAAAAGGAGAGCTCGTGGGTCTGTGGGGATTCCCCGGAGAGGCACAAGTGAACGAGCTGGCCTTTCCACTGATGGAGCGTGGATCATGGCTGGGTGTCCACCGGGAAGCTGCCTCAGTTTGTCGGGTTCAGTGGAAATTAAGTGCTTTACAGTGCTGAGAGTTTACTGTGTGTTCAGCAGCTTGAGTGCGAGGTGAGAGAAAGTCAAACCGATCTAACACTTTGAGTTAAAGTGCACTGTGCTCAGAAGTGTGTCATTATACTGTAGTTGCATAGCAATGGCAGAGGCCCAGACCAGCACTTTCCACAGTCCACAGGCCTCTGTTTGGCACTGGTGGCTATGAAAGAAATGCCCGGTGGGCACACAGCCTGTGGCCAAAGATTATAGATCGGAAGGACAGAATGTCACTAAATCTAAGCTTATTCAAGCAATAAAGATGAATTTACTCCCTGGATTATTTTTTACATATTGCCTAATTACATGTGCTGTGTGTTGTTTCATCTTTGGTTTTAAAGAGTTGACATTGTTTCTTGACATAGTATGTTTAAGTCAGGAGATCAGTAGTGTATCAGAGATTAGATGATGTAGCCTGCATAGGAAACCTTTTAGGTAGTGTCATGTTAAATTTTATCAAAGTCAGACCTATTCATGAATTGAAAATCTAAGTTATTGTGCATAAATGTCCCAGTGTGTGTTGCCTTGCTGTTTCTAATCAGAATGGCTACGTTGGAACTTCACTTACAGCCAACTGTACTGCATCTGTCTAGAAAAGAGGATTTGTTTTTGCACCAGTTGAAGCATATTGACTGATTGCATTATTATGATTATGGTTTGCAAATTTTTGTTTGCAGCCAATTGAAAGTTTGCAAACCATGGTATTGATAATCTCATCCAATGAGTTACTGGTACTGATAGTTACTGCAACAGCTTTCTTACCCGTTGACACTTGTATGCCTTAAAGACAAACGGTCCCTGCTTACATACGTACACTTTCCAGTGGGTAGTGCTTGGTTATCTTGAGCTTCTTGTGCACTTGTGATAGGTTAATTATTTTACCGAATAAACCCTATGTCATTGAGGCACAGTTTATAGCTACAAGAGTGTTAGGCAAATGCAAAATCACACTCAGTGAGGGTGCCATAATACTTTTCTTACAGGGGCGTTCCATGGCTGTGCTTTGACAATTTCCAGTGTCAGTAAAACCATTGACTGGAAATATTCACAAGAAATACTGAATTTAAAAACTATGATTAACGGTGAATTAAACAACTTGCTTCTACCCAGCAGTAAACTTATCAATATGACTAAAAACAGCTGTATTTGAACCAATTATTCCAATCTCATGTATCATTCAAAGATAATAAAACTTTTCAGGGTGAGAGGAGGACATCTTTCACTAATGTCAGGGAATTGAAGTTTCCTTTTGTTGTTCGATGACAGCAGTATAAGTTGTTCATCGCAGCTCTAACATCTGAATAGAGATAGTATTCACTCTACTCTCAATACACTGTTCTAAGGGATCAGGTCCAATTATTGAATTTAAATAGATTTGTCATCATTTTAAATTTATAATTAAAAGCAAAAGCCCATCCTGTATCTATGTGATCTACACATGAAGCTTTGTTTGAGTCACTCACAGCCACCTGTGTACTCTGAGGCTGATTTGATGTCATTGTTGTTTTGAAACTTGAAAAACACAAATAAAATTTGAATACCCTTTAATAAACACACCTCAAACTTGGTGTATGTTTGTGTCATTTATTATGAAACATGATTCTTGAGCAGGAAGTTGGATGAAATCATTTGCAATGAAACAGGTGGCAATAAACTGAATATGGTTAATATAAAGACACTTATGAAAGAATCATTGCACATTGATTGATTACATTTTTTACAGGTGAATTATTATACTTTAGTTTTCCTGATTATGCTTACATGCAAGGTGTCTGCAGGTGCTTAAAAAGTCTAATATGTAGTTTTATATATAATATTTGGCCTTAAAGGTCAAAAACTGTCTTAAATTTGAATCTGTGAGATCTTATTTGCCACAAACATTTTATTTTTTCATTCTCTTTTTCATTTCTTGTATTTGTTACATGAATAGCTGTCAGTTACTTCAATGTAGTGGTAACAATTAAATATCAATGTCAAGGTTGGTTTGGTTTTGTCCAAATGAGTCAAGCTCTTCTGTGTGAAAGTCCACATATCTGATGCTACAGATCTTTAAATCTACCACTGACCCTGAATAAATGAATGACTTTATTTCAAACCAAAATAAAAAACAAGACAAAGACAACAGTGTCCGAAAAGGAGTAGGTAGAACTTCTATGCCCCCTCTCCTCTCTTACATTTCTTCTTCTAACACATATATTATTTCAACAAATTCACAATTTTATTTACAACCCAGTTAATTTACAGTCCAAGTACCACCCAGTGTTACAAAACAAATATGCACTCCCCTAACACAACCTTCCCATATCTATATATCTGCCAAACATTTGATAGTCTACATATACCTGTGATAAAACTTACTCTAATCACATTCCTATATCAAACCTACCTCTGCATGGGCCACATGTTTACTATATGCCTTTATATTTTTCCGAAAAAGTCCAAATTTGGTTAAAAATGATCTTGAAAAGCTCTTAAAAAGCATTTTATTTGGCCTCAGTCACTGCTACCTGTTAACACCCTGACATACTTTTTACTACAGATCTGAGCACTTCCTCCTCCGACCACAGGGGGCGCTGTTTGATTCGAGCACCGCGGCTCGCTCTGGGATCTTGTCGTCTGGTTGAGCTCCAGCAGTGGTGTCCACTGAAAGTCGGAAGTTGGCTCTGATAGTTAGTGAAATTTGACAAAATGGCAGAAGACAACACTTATGAGTCTATGCTCTGTGTAAAGCCCGAGGTCCATGTGTACCGGATCCCGCCGCGAGCTTCTAACCGTGGATATCGGTAAGTTGAGCCCAGAGAGCAGTAACGGCTGTGACTGACGAGGCTAATGACTGCGAGACAAGTGTCCGTCAACAAGCTATTGCAACGGAAATGCATCCATTATCGGACAGATAGTTGTTAAAATGTTACTTTTCTTTATTTCGTCGACAGTAACTCATAAAGATTTAGATAAACAGACATAGTTAGCTGGTTAGTAGCTATATGCGCTAATAATGTTAGCATAATTTCCAAACACGAACTCGCCGCTGCAACTTTACCGTGCAGCTCACTGTAATGGGACACCTTGATCCAGACTCTGTCAACAAACAGTTTACCAACTGCGACTTAAGCTTACACCTGCTGTCATTTGAAAAGTTAACTTTAATTGTGAAAGACATACGAATATATAACAGTGCTGCTGTTACGCCTGAAAAGTTTAAAATGTCAGGGCTAATGTCCGATAATGGATGCAGGGGTTTAGAGTATGCTAGCTGTTAACTAGCTAAGTGTCCACTGAGAGTCAGTGGATTGGAGTTTGCGTGACGATTAATTCAACGACAAATGCATAAACTGTTGTTAAACTGTAGGTAGTTCAATGCACCGTGTGCCGACATATTTGTCGGAATAAATTTATGATAATATGATTTTACGTTAGCCAGACTTCCTTGATTGTACAGGGGGCACTTAACTATCCATGAGGTGGAGTCACTTTATAGTGTGACAGGCCGAGGAGGAGTTTTCATCCATCACGGTATCAACAGTTTATCACTGATCATAACAAAGTTGACAAAAACTAAATAAAAATCCAAGTTTTGAAATTCTCTGCACTCACAAGTAGAAGTACGACATAGCCTTGGCTCACTGCAGATGTTCCTACTGGGCATCACAGCTGTAAGTGCTGGCTTCATGAATATAGTTAGACATGTATGTAAAGTGTGTGCACATAGAACAAGGCTCTGTAACTAGTGTATCAGTATATGTCCTCCCCTTCCTAAAGGCAAGATACGGTAGGTATATGTTCAACACTTGGAAGAAGATAAAAAAAAAATCTGTTTACCTGTGTCTCAATCAAGGATAACTATTAGTGACTTTTTACCTACTAAACTGGACAGTGGTGGTTTTGTTAAATGGGCTGGGAGAGGTGATCAGATGACAGTAAATAATTTATTTGAGGGGATGACTCTTAAAGCATTCTCTCAACTTCAGGCCCAGTATAGTATTCAATCTAATGATGGCAATAAAAATAATAATAGCTTTATTTATATAGCACATTTCACGCAGAGATGCAGCCCAAAGTGCTCAACAAGACAAAATCAGATGCAAATAAACAGTAACAATAAAAAAAAAATATATAATATATATAGTTAGAGCAATAAGTGAGAGGAAACCAAACAAAGCAAACAAACAAAAACAATTTGGTTACAAACAACAATATTTTAACAATGATACGAGCCCAAATTGAAAGCCAAGTTAAAAAGATAAGTCTTTAATTTCTTTTTAAAATTTTATGGGAGTTTGCCCTAACATCTAAGGGGAGAGAGTTTCACAGTTTAGAGCCATAAAAACAGAAAGTGGCCTCACCTGATTTCTTGTGGGAGACTTTAGGAATTTCTAAAAGAACGGCAGTCAAAGATCTGAGGGTTCTTGCTGGGACGTAAAATGAAAGACAGTCACTAAATATATGAAGGTGCTAGATTATACAAGGCAAAGGACTTTAAAATCAGTTGTAAAATATACAAGTAGCCAGTGCAGTGACATGAGCGGAGAGGTGATGTAATTTTTTCTTTCTTTTTGTGTGTGTGTGTGTGTGTGTGTGTGTTGGTCAAAATTCTGGCTGCAGCATTCTGAGTTAATGCAAATTTTTTCAACAACGGCTTGTGATAAAAGCATGTATCAGCATTTCAGCATCGCTCTGTGTTAAACATGGTTGAATTTTGGCAGTGTTCCTCAGATGACAACCCTATTAAACTAATAAAATTACAATCAGAGTCTAAAGTCACTTTCAGATTTGTAACTTGTGTTTTAATCTGTTTGTACAGGCTGGCAAACACTGACTGTAGCCTCTGTGTTTCTGCCTTTGGACCTACATGTGGAATATCTGTTTCCTGCTAATTTGGTTATAGAAAAATATGTTTACATATTTTTAAATATGGCATTATTTGGTGACAGACAAGGAGTGGAACAAGATTAAAGTAGCGCCTACTCATTCTGAACAGTACTGGATTGAGACTGTCAAGAATCAAATACAACCCAGGAATATAATATCTGTCGTATTGTAATCATGTTTTTACTTGTCAGTTTTACTTTAAATCCCAATGAGATGTATGAAAAGGAGCCCATACATCTTTTTAAGCAATGCACATTCACTTTTCTTTTTCCAATAAGCACCATTCTGTCCTTTTTATGCTATTGATTTCCTTCAGTAGGCAGTAGAACAAAAGAGATGACTTTTGACATGAATGTCTCATTTTAGTCTTCCTGAAAACATTTGATTTCACTTCCTCTTGCTGTGGAAAGCTGCAGCTGCCTGTGTAAAAGCAGTGATCGAGTCAGTCACTTTCATACTCAGATGTGCGTTTCCTGTTTTTTTATTTTTAGTGCTGCTGACTGGAAGCTGGATGAGCCTGCATGGAGCGGCAGGTTGAAAATCACTGCGAAAGGCAAGATGGCCTACATCAAGTTAGAGGACAGAAACACAGGTGAACAAACTGGCATCTCTTTGCAGATAAATGTGACGTGTGCATAATTCACCACATGAAGTCCTTTTACTAATGTCACCAAAATACACAGTTTACAGACATCTCTTTTACGAAACCTTTTATGTCTGCAAGTACTTGTGCAAGACAAGAAGAACTGACTCACTTGGGTGAGTCTTTGAACTTTCCATGAGTACCACAGTAGGAAGTACTAGTAAAATGCTGACTGTTTAAAGTGAGCCATCAGTTTCTCAATTTGAACTTTAGAGCAGAACTGATTAGCAAGAAATCCTAACCAGTTTAGACATGGAACAGAGTCAGACTGTCTCATTGACCTGTCTGCTCTGTTCACAAGCACTGAATACAGATCCTGTTGTAGTTAGTTGTCATAGTTAGCTTTGTTAGTGTTACATGGATCACATGTAGGTGGCACAAGATGGTGGTTCAAAAACATATGGTCCACCGCGTGAGGGAAATTGGCTGCTGTGGTAGATTTACAACAACACAATGCTCACTTACAACACAGGAAATAACCCCAAGGCACCACTGATGTAAATTTGTTCTTTACAGGAGAGTTGTTTGCTCAAGCTCCAGTCGAACAGTACCCCGGGTGTGTAGTTGAGGCAGTCACAGACTCCAGCAGATATTTTGTGATCCGGATAGAAGATGGCAATGGTAAGACATTTTCACCAGGGACTCCTATGTCTGCTTAAAAACATTTTGAAAAGAAGACATAAGCAGTTATACTGTGCTAAAGATATATTCAATATAATATCACATTTATAGAACAATACATTGTATCAGTAGAAATATAAACTCTTAATTTAGGTATTTATTTTAAATAATTACCAAAAAAAAAGACGGACTGTATTCAACTAGCGTGTCTGATTAAAGGTCCAGTGTGTAGGATTTAGGGGAACATATTGGCAGAAGTTGAATATATTATTCATAACTATGTTTTAATTAGTGTAAGAATTGTTGTTGTGTTTTTTGTTTTTTTTTTACCTACATACGGAGTGGGTTCCTTTACATGATGTCGTTCTACAGTAGCCTAGAGTGAACAAACCAAACACTTGCTCTTCACAGGGCCTTTCATGTGTTTGTGTCCGCCATTGTAGTTCTCCTACACCCTTGGCGCAGAGGAGAAGTTGCAGTTGGTTACAGTCTGCAACCTCACTGCTAGATGTTACTAAATCCTGCACACTAGACCTTTAATAGAGTTTTCCTTTTCAAGAGAATCAGCATCCTGATTGAATTGCTGTTTTTACATTAGAAAACTGTATTTATACATACAGGTTTTTTGATGACTCACTATCATTGATCACCGTGATCGTTAAAGTGACGTCATAGTGGCACAAGACTTGGTAACTTGGCTGGTTTTTAGCTCTTTCACAGCACCTCTTGGTCTGTCTCACACTGCAGTTGGCAAGTGAAAGAAGATAAAGTTAAAAGAGTTTTTTTTTACACGAAGGTGCCATCTGTTGCTATTTATAGCATTTATATTGTCTTTAAATGTAAGACAACCCCAAAAAAGTCTAAATGTTTTAAGATCAATTTGTTGCTAAGTCACAGACCTATACTCTCCCCTTCTGTATGTATCCTACTGCAGGAATAAGTATGTTTGATGTGTTATTATATGATGCATAAGGTATCCTAATGTGCTTTTGTCTTTACAATTGCTTCATAAAGGGCGTCATGCTTTCATCGGTCTGGGTTTTGCTGATCGTGGAGACTCATTTGACTTCAATGTAGCTTTACAAGACCATTTCAAGTAAGTTAGCTTCTCTTATGTAGCCGTTTATGCTTAAATGTGATGTAGTGAACAACACTCATACTTGCACATTTGCTTTGTGGATAGATAGTAGTGCACATTGGTCCATCATTCATATCATTATTTTGTCTTCATTCTAAGTTAGTGTAAAAGAGGTACACACACACACACACACACACACTCACACACTCAGACTCTCACACAAAACTTTTTTAGATGGAGTTAGTCACACCTACAGTATACTTACAATACAGGAGTGGTGCTTGCTTATTTGTATCTTGCTACTGCAGTGACCCAGTTTGACTCTATCCACCATGATTGTCGTGATAATTATCATGCTTCAAACTCTGTTTCTAAAGGTGGGTGAAACAAGAAGGTGAAATCGCAAAACAGGAAGCTTCTCAGAGCGCAGCACCCAAACTGGACCTGAGCTTCAAAGAGGGACAGACTATCAAGATCAGCATTGGGGTGAGTCATTCAGCTCCAACACGACAGATGTAAAGGAGTTACTAAAATGATGAATAAATAATTGGACGATGATGGCAGATTCTATGCAGAAAATAGCCACTAGTTAAACAATCAAGACGTTCAGAAACATCATAACTCTGTTTATTACAGAACATCAAGAAGAAGGATGCAGGTGCTGCCAAACCGCGGCCCATGGGTGGCGGTCTACTCCCTCCTCCACCAGGTGTCAAGGTTGGAGGTGTCATACCACCTCCTGTGGCACAGCAGACAGTACCAGCTGCAGAAACTAACACTGGTGATCACCGTGCTTTTGATTGATCAAAAGTTTTTAGATAGTGATGCACCAATACCAAAGCCAGTATTGGATATTGGTCCGATACTGTGCTCATGTAGTTTTAATCGTACTTGTAAAACCACTCTGACACAGTGGCATCCGAAAAGCTTGATTTGTGCAGTATGAAATTACTCAGATCTGCCGCATTGTTGTGCCCAAAGAGCAAGCGCGATAGAGGCAGGTTTAGCCCTCCTCCACCCTTAATGGGGATAAAATGATTTAGTTGTGCGGCTCTTTGAGAAGTTCGAAATGCTATCAAACAAATGGTTCAAATCTCAATAGTAAAATGAGTCATTTTGCAGGGGTTGTGACGCTACAAAAAATGTATCCATTGATTAACAGACGTCTCTTTCACAATACAAGTCTATGGGGAAAAAAATGTTTTTGGGCTCCATGCCAATAAGTGATGGACCCAGAGGTTGTTATTTCATATTTGGCCACGATGTAAAATTGGCTTCAAAGCCCAGCACGACCCACTAAGTCCAGTCCAGCCCATTGGATGACTTTGCTCACCTAATATTAATGCACTATAGTGAAGTCTAAAGCTCCATTTCCACCGAGCAGTACAGTACGGTACGGTACAGTTCAGTGCGGTGCGCTTTTTTTTCTGTTTCCACTGTGAAAAGTTGTGAATGGTACCAATTGAATGTTGTTATTTAAAGGTTATTATGAAATGTTTTTACTTGTCCGGCTCAGTTAGATGAAATTTGGCTGTATGTGGCCCATGAACTAAAATGAGTTTGACACCCCTGCTCTAAACTAATGGTTTACTCCTCTGAGAGGTAAGAAAATAAAGAGTTTTTAAAGTCATTGTTAGAACTGTAATGGCAGTATTTAGTAAGTATCCAAATGTAAGTACTTGGTCTGAAAATAGTGGTATCGGTGCAACCCTATTTTTAAACATCTTCACATGATGTAAATATTATTTCTGCTCTCCATAATTATTTTTCTCCGTATCCAGCCACTCTTTTAGATTTTGGCTCCCCCGCCCCTGCAGCCCAACCCAGCGCCGACGTGTGGGGAGATTTCACATCTGCAGGCTCCAAGTAAGTCTTACACAAAGCGTCACCTGTATTTTTGTCTGTGTAGTGATCCATCCTGTCCATCTGTCACAGCTGTGCTCATGCAACATGATTGTTTTTGAATTCATCATCATCACACGTTCATCTCCCACCCTTTCACCCCCCACTCTCCTCCACAGCTCCAGTAAAGATGCTGTCAAATCATCAGGATGGGTGCAGTTTAGTTGAGTGGTGAGAAAACATGCACACACTCAGGTTCCACACATTCCACGGACAGGACGATTGTGGCGAAAAGAAACTAAAAGAGAGGAACTGTTAGCGAACTTTTTGTTCTGGCTGCACTTGTTCTGTAAAGGATATGTTCATGTAAACTATAGCCCACTGACCAACACACTCTGGAGGAACAAACAGTAAACATGTACATATTTTCTACAATCAGATCCTTTTCTCACACTCCGCCATGAAGTGGGATCTTTCTTTGATTCTTAAACGTCAGGTGACCCTTAAACTGTCACTGTTGGAGTTTCCTGAAGACAAGTGAGCATGTTGATGGTTGAAGGCAGAGATGGTGTAGTTACACTAACCACATGAGAACGTTTCTCCACTGCCTTAAATCAAATGTTCTAGTTTCATTTCCTTGTCACTGTAAATCTCTCCAGAATCAGATTCGATAGTGTTCCTCATCTTTACATCGCGCTCCTGTAGTACAGTTATCTCAGTACACCAGCACCACTCATCTCAAGGTTGTTTTTACCATTTTGGGAAAGTTAGTTTACCTATTGAAGTATCCACATTTTGTTTAACGTTGTACCAGTATGTGTGTGGGTTTAGTTTTGTTTCCTAGTTTTTGTTTTAGGAGATTTTGCAAAGCTTATATTGATATTTTCTGATTTAGTTTTACATTAAACCTCTTAAATATTCACGAGAAATACCCAGATTTTTTTTTTAATCATGGTGTTTGGGAAAGAATAAGTCATGATGGCCATTTCGTCTGTCATTCAGAGTTTGAACATGTTTCGCTCATTTGTGTGTTTGTGTACGCCCCTCATATGTCTTTACCTCGTGTGTCGTTGCTTTTAAATATGTGCCTTTTACCAAATAGATACTTCCTCAATCTTGTCGCTAATTTGCATCGAGTATTTGATTAAGTGCCTTTCTGAAAAAGATCTAAAATGTATAAAATGTAAACCTATGTCTTCTTGTAAATAAACAGTATATTTCAGTGAGTCTTGTTTTGACTTTTATTAGTGAACCAGTCTGCTTGTGAGATTGTACCGAGGTGTTGTCCTCAGCTCATGTTACACATTTCTCTTCACAGCTGCAGTGTACCTCCTCCTCAGTGTTCTCAGCAACATAATCTAACAGGATTGTTTTTAATATTCAGTCACAATCAGTGTTTTTCCCAGTTAGGCAAATTGAAGTTCATTTAAGAAACGTAACCATGTTGTTTTCAAGTTCTTTCATCAGAATCAGCATTAGAAATACTTTATTGAGCCCCAAGGGGAAATTATGATTCATTACAGTCGCTCCAATGTAAAGAATGGAGAATTATAAGTAAGAATAAGAGTATGAAATAAAAGTGTGTAAATATAAAGCAATAAAAAAAGTAAAAATGAAATGTGCATTAAAATAAAAATAAATCTGCATTATTCTATGTTTAACACTAGTACTTAAGATATAAAAATTAAAATGTATATCTTCACAATAAAATATGTATCGTAACTATATACCATCAACCTATATATCTATATTGTTCTGAAGTTGATCATGTGTCAATGTATTGAACAGGAAGAGCTTGACAACTGCCTGCTTTCCATCTTTTCCATACTTTAAAATACCAAAAATATTTTTGGTAAATAATATTAAATAAGCCTAACCAAATGCAATATATTATTTAAGACTATGTTTTCATTAGTGTATAATTACCTGAAACCAACAACTGTTTTCGTTACCTTAGAATTAACTGTTTTTATTTACATGTTGAGCGGGTCCTCTTCCATGAAGCCCGCCATGTTGTTTTTATGGTAGCTCAGAATGGACAAACCAGACACTGGCTCTAGGTGGGGCCATTTGCATCATCACATTGGTCAACATATTTCTCCTACACACTTGGCACATAGAAGAAGTTTGAGTTCTGCAACCTCACGGCTAGAAGCCACTTAACCTACGCACTTGACCTTTAACTTAAGAATATCCCATTTAAATGTCATATAAATGTAGTTAAATGTAGGTTTTATTGAATTTATTGTACAGTATTTTAAATTCATCAATAGTGATACACACTAAATGATTTTGTCATATTAATTCAAAGTTTTAGATTTGATCACTGTTTTACATTTAAGACTTTAACTTGACTTATTTTATCGAGGAAAAGACGTAACTGTTTTCTGTAAAAAAAAAAATAAATTAATTAATAATAATTAGAGGTACAACTGAAATTTTATTTATCTGTTTTTGAGGACTTATAGTAATCACCAAATCTTAGCCAAATTAACGAGGCACATTTGAGTTATAATGTAAGAGCAGTTATGGCCATAAATTCTAGGATCCATCAAGCTGTTTGGAGCTTCATTTAGAAAATTTCTAATTCACCACAGAATTCATCATAAAGGTATTATTATTTGGTATTGTGTGATTTTTGGACTATTTTTGGATTTATTCTGAACCATCTGTCTGAAACAAACAAACAATAAAACAGTGTTTACTGATAGATTTCACTGGAAACATTTAGACAGATGAGACGATGACCACATGATGACAGCAGACCATCATGTATACACACAGAGCTGTAAACAGACCTCAGGCTGCTGCTGCTGAACTGGAAGTCCCTCCCCGGAAAAAGCATGGAGGAGATTTCAGAGGAAGGCGACTCAGCCTGCCTGCAGCTGATGGTACATTTATAACTGCTGTGGATGGGGTCTGTTTCTGCCTCTGAAACACTACAGCCGGCTCAGGAGAATGCAGGGACTGCAGGATAAGACTCATCACACCGATCTGTCGAGGTGAGAATATGAAGCAAACAGGGAAGTGGATGTTTCCACCGCGAACACAGCACTCACGATACAAAATGCGTTTCACATGCAGGAGCTTGTTTCCATAGCAGCGTGTTTGTGTCCAGATCTCAGTCTGTGCTGCTGGAAAACTATTCACGATCAGTTTGATTTGATCAGATGCTGCTCCTGCTCAGTTTAATGTATAACCCCCCCTCCTCCTCCTCCTCCTCCTCCTCCTCTTCTTCCTCCTCCCGCCTCCAACTCCTCACTGAGACTTTTGAAAACTTGGGCGTGTCTTTTTGGATGCATTTTGGATGTGTGCTAAAATAAAGAGGATGTTCTATTCATGTGTTCACCAAATGAGGTGTTGAAGCATGAAAAGGAGAGGAAGAGGAAGCAGTTGAGGACCTGACTGTTTATTCAGTAGTTAATTTATGGTCAGATCAACTGGTTGAGGCTGTTCAAATGAAGAAGATGAAGAGTGAGGAGTCATCAGTTTGGGTCGCACTCAGGTGTGGTTTGGCCCGTGGAAGATGAAAGATCAACAGGTGTGTGTTTCTCAGATGTACTCACTGTGAAATCAGTGCCAGTCATCTCCTAACAGGCCAGCTGGGGTCGCTACAGATGTTAATGCAGTTTTACCTGAGTAAACTAAAAGCTTATGTCTTCATGGTTCATGGTTCATTCAGTTAGACAGATAACATGCAGTCTAAGTTTAGCAGTTTTTCTGTAATCATCATGAGACAGTGACTTCTGTGGACAATTTATAAAATGTTTAATGCTAAAACTCTTAAAGAGAAACACCCCAGTATCAACAGCATGTCTGTAATTCATTATTATCAGTATAGATGCACCAAGTAACTGTAAACCTGCTGTGAGTCGTGACAACGTTAACATTTATTCTTATTTCCTGACATGTTTAAACTCTCTTGAAACCATACTGAGGTTCGTCACAAGTGTAGAAGTACAGTGTGTGTGTGTGTGTGTGTGTGTGTGTGTGTGTGTGTGTGTGTGTGTGTCAAGGCTAGGCTGGGGGTCTGGTAGTGACACAATGACCCTTTTGTCTGTAACTATGACAATCCAAACACTGAGTGCAGACCCCCTCATGTTTAATGCTTGGGCCATAATTTTACACTCACATGACCACAGACTTCTCATGAAGAGTAATCTGTGAATTACTCAGTGTTTAGTGTGAGATTATTGTATTTAAAAGTGTTTTAAAGCATTTTATGGTTTTAGGCAGTTGTGGTTAATGGTGCAGTGGTGTTTCAGTAGTAGGGGAGAATGGGGTCAGGTGTAACGTCACATTTTTAGGGCTGAAACTAACAGTTATTTTCATTATTGATTAATCTGCAGTATGTTTCCTCAATTACTTGCTTGGTCTGTAAAATGTCAAAGGAAATAAAAAAATGCCTGCCACATTTGTTGGGGGTATTGTTTGGTATCATTATTGGCAGAAAATATCTTCACTAGTCTTGCTATTCTGACAAACGGTAGCTCACACACATTCACTGATACCAGAGATACTGGATGAAGCGAGATACCCAACTCAGCTCACTTCCTGATTCAGTGACTTCAGCGCCACGCCCCCGTAGGAGACTTGCGGCAGCTCTGAATGTATTGTCGTCAATGAGGAAAATGAACTTGATCACAATTTATGTTCAATTCTTTCGCTCTGTAGTCACTAAAGTAAATATTGGGTTCATTTTCCACAAGCCACACATCTTTCCAATATTCTGACACTAAAGCTGCATTTTTCATCCGCACAGATCAAGAGAAAGTTAACTTTGTTTGAGCCCTGTCCGTCTCAGAAAACAAGTTCTCGCTAGATCTCGTGATCTTGATAAACAGGCGGTAAAATCACAGTTAGTTTACAAACAGTTATTTACCGCTAGTAATAAATAAAAAATGCCCAATCTTTGTGCATCAATAGGCTGCAATAATAGGAAGAATGTATTTTCGTTCCACCTGCTTCTCGACCCGCATACACAGACATCCACAGAGCCTCTGTTCAACACGGTGGTGGGGAGGGGGGGTTGAGGGAGAACAGGCTCTGATTGGAGGGAGCGCTAATCACGCCCACTTAGGAGACAGGAAGAGTAACCGTTTTCTTAACATTGGATAAGCCTACAGTTGGGTATCTCCCTTCATCCAATATCTCTGCTGATACATTCATGGTTCAATACAAACACAAATTGGCTGAAATGTTGAACTTTTTAGCAAGCAGTTGCTTATTCACAGATCAGTTACAGCTGAAGTCATGTTTCTGTTTCAGCTGGTGAATGTAAGTCCATTATTAGTGCTCTCTTTTAGCTCTGTGTTTGGTCTCTACCAACTCCTGAGGGAAAGATCTGACTCTTTAGCCACTAAATCCTCCACTGTGTTCACCAGCTGGTCTCTAACTGTGTCAGTGAGCTGTTTGGTGCTGAGCAGGGAGTCTACAGTGGACTTTACAGCTTTTTACACTGAAAACCGCCGCCTGCTGCTAAAGACGACACTATGATAGCTGTGAAAGTGGACCGAAACAGTGGAGTTGCGGGCTGGACGGTTAAGCAATGAGCTAAACTCACCGTAAATCTCTGTCAAGCCAAGGGAAGCTGCTGGTGTACAGTAATTCTCTGTAGATTCATCACAGGGAACAACCCCTTTCTTTTGTTCGCTGTGATTATTTTGAAGCTTGTGCATGTTACAATAAGTTGATTCTTTTTCACTAGTACATTAATTTAACGTATTTTGGATCTCAGTGAATATTTTTTGTTGGTGTGCCAGACAAGTAAACCAGGCCCGGCTTCAGCCTCTCAGCGACTTTTAGTTTGTTTCCTGCAGTTGCTACAATAGTCGTCATCATCATCCTCCTGAATATTACTATCTGACCTGTTGGACGTGAGTTATCTGAGGTCTGAAATGATACTGTGCACCCCTTCCTCTTGACACGGCCACATCTTCTCCACTGATTCTTGGTCAAATGTCTCTAAAAGCTTCTGGCGGATGCAACAAATGCAGAAAATCAAACCTGTTTCAAAAACTTAAATGGCGGACTAAAGTTTCGGACTCAGTGGTAGCATTTATTTTTAGAGGTGCAACAATTTTGGACGAAAAAAAAAAAATTCAGTGTGCAAAGGCCTTAAGCTGGGGGGCATGTGAGGCCAACTTTCGGGTAAATGGGACCCTGCAGGTAAAGCTTGTGGGCTGTTGATTCTCAGTGGGATTGGAAGCATAGCAACCGTCTCACA